GTGTTGGGTAAAACATGGGTAGATGTAATAGTTGCTGTGTGACAAATAAAATAATGAGAGGCCTCGTTATAGATGTTATTGATGATCCAGTCATCTAGTGGAGTATAGATGACGACCACGGACTATTCTAGACAGTCCAGTGGAACACTAGCAGGCTCGCAACCTGTAGGTGTTTATTTGAACTGTGTGTTTATTTGAACTGTGTGCTCACCAGATGTACTCCATCCCCCACATGGTTGCCTGTTAGGACATTTATTGCTGAGGAATCCCCTTAGTAGCAGTGTCCGTCCCAATGATCCTTAGGCTAGGTCCCTTATGATAGGTGTTTAGGGACGTAAAGTGAGGATAACGGGAACGGGCAATCGGGTTATTGTTGATTGATGAAATTAATAAACTATTTATTGTGGGTTGAAAACCCTATGTGCTCACCAGGCTCCCAAGCCTGACCCACTCAGTTTTATGTATTACAGGTAGTGGCGCTTGAGCATATATATGATGTTTGGACGAGGGATTACGGATATAGGCCTGTAGATATGAAATAATGTAGTAAGGCTTGTATTGTACTGTTTATGCTTTTGATCTGTACGAACATGACATCCCGAGTCTTTTAATGAAATACATTTCTATGGAAATGCTTTTGATAAATCTTTATCATATTATTGTTTTGGGACAAATTCCGCAACACTTTTATTTAAAATGTTACTCTGATTTTTAAACAAAGCATAAACAAACCGGTCTTTTCTGGCCGTGATTTTGGGGATGTCACAGTAAACATACTACTCCCAAAAAGTTATCCATACAAATTGTTTTGGTGAAGTGCAACCCAAATGGACCATGCCGGGTTGGGTTAAGTACATACCAAATATAGTTATGGACTTAGATACCTTATCCAACACAAACTACTACTAACAAAGGGGATGATGCCATGTGAGCATAACACCACCCCCAAGGAGGTGTGCACCATCATTTCCATCCATGGCCTAATGGGTGTGAACGTGGAGTGGTGGTAACACAAGATCTGTAGAAGCAACCTAGCAATGGTCAACACCGAAACAAACTAGAAAATACAATGTTAAAAACATAATGTCAAATTTAAAATAAGATACAAAACAATGTTAAAATGAAAACATTGTGTCCTTAATTTACCTTTGCTTCACTAAAGGAAAACATATAATAACAAGAAAAGTAGCAAGAAGAGGGATGGTATTGTAATTGTGCAAGTGGAATACTTTTTAAATTACTTTTATTTCAAGTATAGTTCTTCAAATGCTATTTATAACAGTTTTTGTATCCTATATCAAGACAAAATTATCAAACATATATTTTCAATTGGAATTTTCTTTCTATATCACATAAAACTAAATTGGATTTCTTCATTAATTCGCTAATTACTTTCGCGCTTAATTAAAAATTAAAAACAATAATTCATTTAACAAGTGTCACCAATGCTTTATTATTTTTATTAATAATGTTTTCATAAAGACTTGAATCGATTTGTATACAAAATCAAAAATAAAAAGTCACCTAGACAATTTGATTTTAGCGATTTTGTTTCATAAATTACTCTTTATAATATGACACATCTCATCCATAATATGTTCATATTCATATATGCACTAGACTATCATATTATTCTTTAAATATATTAAACTAGTTTTAAGAGTATATAATTAGAGCGCATAATATATTTTTGAAGAATTAACTACATTACTTTAGTTATCATACTTTAAGTCAAATGAACTAACTACTATAGTGTAATTTCAAAATATATTACAATCTTATACCATTTGGATTGTTTTAAATGCCAATCCTTTTACAAACAAAGGTCGGCATCACCTCGTAGAAACAAGAGAAGATTTATCATACAATAAAAAAACGTTTTCTAGTATTTGGACTTTTAAACAATAAACAATGATATATGTCAGTGTAAATATGGTATTTTGTAATTTTATTAGATATTATATTTAACAACTATGGTTTAATGATTTAAATTGAGGAAGTGAAAGGTTACATTATTAGATAAAGTTCGAATTCCAATATTGAATTTCAACAAAAATACATATATAAGAGATTTCATGCAACTTCAATAGTGGACTTCTTTGAAGTTTTATATGTTTTTATAAAAGTGTACCTTTATTTTTTAGAAAACGAGGACTAATGAAACATAGAATGAGAAGGGACGGTTGTGTAAGTGTGCAAATAACATTGACTAAAGATTGAAAATTATTAGAAAAAGTTTTCTAAGTACGATTGAAATTGAATATATAATGCGGAAGGTCAGCCATATTACAACGTGGGTTTATTAAATTACTACACGCAATGGAGTACCTTTATTTAAGAACGATACTACACCGTGAGAAGAAATGCAAAAATCCCACATTTCAAAGTTATTCATCCAAGTGAAACATCTTACATCTACCTCTAAAAGGTTGCTCAATCTTCCATTTATTTTGTCTTATTTCATGAATAGATATCAATACTTATTCAATGACAATAATCTTTTTATTCATTTTAGGGAGGCCTGGAAAGACAACAAAATCTTGTGGTAGCTTTTATAGGGTCTATGTGAAAAAACTAAAGAAAATAGTTGGTCCTTTTGACAATATTCTTATTTTTAGTAACAAATGTTCCTAAGTAAGGTTCAATTAATGGATTACAAGTTGTAAGATGTTGCTAAAAAGGGTTTTCTAGAAAGTATGTTGCTAAAAATACATTTGTCTACAAAGTATGGTGCTAAAAAAGGTTTGTCCAGAAAGTATGTTGCTAAAAAAGGATTATAAAAAGAAAGTATGTTGCTAAAAATAGTGTTTCCTAAAAGTATGTTGCTGAAGAAGCATTGTAAACAAAGTTTGTTGCTAAGAATGTTGTGCAAAAATTATGTTGTTGAAAAAGGATGGTAAACAAAATTTGTTGCTAAAAAAGTTTGTCTAGAAAGTACGATGCTAAAAAGGTTTTTCTAGAAGTATGTTGTTAAAAAGCTTTTCTAGAAAATATGATGCTAAAAAAAACCTTTCTCCACAAAGTATGTTGCTAAAGAAACAAAGTACATGTTTTCTATAAATCCAATCCAAAATAACAAATCGATAAATCAAAAAATTGTTGCTACCCACTATAAATCCAATCAACAATAATAAGGAGACATCTTGAGACAAGGTATTAGCTACTTCTAGAAATGCATCTTCCCGAAAGACTGATTGTGTAGTCCTCCAATACAACTCAACACCTGCAATCTTGGAGGTCTTGTAAGAATACTTTTTTTCTATAGAAATTTTAGTGAAAGACTGAAAGTGAACGAAAAGATAGAATTATTATAACAATAAAAGTTAACGACTTGCCTCACCTTCATCCGTGAAAGGTGATGACAAAAAATTTGACTGATTTGCAACAATTTATGGGGGAAAATGGTGAAAATCTGAATTAAAAGGGAGAAAAACATCTCACAACATGAACACAAAATCAAGAAAATAATGTCTTTGACAACTCGAGATCATGCCCTATTTCCAATTAGTGATTCAAAAAAAACCAGTCAAAAGCATGAACGAAATTGGAGAGATGGAAAATAAGAAGAAGGTTAAAGTACAATTATCTGATGCTTGTGATTGCAAAAAGGAAGGCGACTTCAATGTTAATGCATTGTGAGGAAGAGGGAAATCTGCGATTGTAAATCTTAACGTGTGAATTGCGACATATACTAGCATTTAGAAGTAAGGGCATTATTGTCCATTTAGTGTGTTTTTCAATTATCGATATGTTTCTGTAATAAATTAAGAAAAGAGCTTTAAGGGAGATATGTTTTATCATTTATCGATTTGCTTCTGTAACATATTGAAATTTGAATCGAAACCGTTAATTTGATGGATGAGGTAGTCGGAATTCAAGTATGAGATAAAGCATAACTCCAATTTTCTTTAGATCTTTCTCTTTGAAAAACAGAGTAGCCCAAATGTTAAGCAAAATCGAGAAACAGAGCAACCCCAAGTGACCAATTTTTTTTTGAAAATTAGAGCAGCACCAAAGGGAAATCAAATTTAAACCACATCCCAATTAGTCTACAGGTATTTTGATGGTTTAGAGATGATATATTGGAGTATGCTTTCTTATAAAACGTTCTAAATATATTTAGAAAGAATTTTGTTCATTAAGCAAATCAACAAATGCATGCTTGAATGCAGGTTTTGGTATACAGCTAATCATTTTGTGGAAATGGAGAACCAATTTAGGATAGAATAAAGAATATTCCATGTGGCCATATGTATATTATTACCAAAACATAAAGGTATGGTTTTTCTACAACATCTGAATTCAAAACATCAAAGAAATCAGAGACCTAGGAAACTAGTGTGGTATCACTAATCTTCTTGCATATAACTAATTCACATATAATTTACTGGAGATTGAATGTGATTCCTCATGTTATGTAACTAAAACTCGTAAGTCATGGTATTCAATTTCCATTATATAATGCATTAATTACATGAAGGTTATGGTTTTTTATAAGCTTCCAATGGCCGACTAGTTCATGTATTCGAATTTCAATCATTTCCTACTTAGCATTGGTATCGGAAAGGCCTTAGGATTTCAGAAGCATTACAGAAAATCATCGCCTTTAGCCATGAGGGTTATTAGTTTTTATGAACAATATATTGTATGAATAAATAGGCATTGAATTTATTTATAGAATTCAAATAAGAATTCTGCGGTAATTTAAATAGCTTATAGAGTTGTTAAAGGTTGATAGATATTAGAAACTCATCATTTTTGCAGCACCCCAAGCATCAGGATAACAATTTATCTGCTTATCGGACATGTCGTTTCTTCATTCAAATAAGAATCAAGCCAAAATTATTTAAGTCGCACTTGAAGAAGGCATACAAATTGAAAATCTAATTGTTATGAGCAAATATCGTTTGAATTTAAGACTCATAGGAAGTGAAAACCAACATATAGAAATAATTAATGGAAACAATGATAGGGCCCTTCCTTATTTCCTAATCGTATTACATGATTGATGACTTAGTACTTATTAATATGGCAGTGATAACAAATACTGAAATTACAAACTCTTGCCCGACATTCGAGGGTCAAATAACCATTAATATCTTGATTACAAATAGAACATACATACTTGGGCGTTTTCTTTCTCCAAACAAATGTTAATGGATGTTTGTGACATGAATCATTCAAGGTGCCCTCGCGGAAAATGTTTGCATAATAATTTACTCGACTAATACAATCAAGGTGAAAAGAATTTTTGCATTTGCCACAATAATAGAGGGGTAACTTGGGGTGCATTTCTTCCTCACAAATATCACAATAGAAATCTTCCGGGTGATCCATGACCGGGGGATATGTCAATAGGATTTCATGTCCTTTGCAATACCTGTGACCAATGGAATCTGGCAATCTCATTGCATAAAACATGTCTAATCTAATAAGCAGTCGCAATACTTACAAGCATAACTTATACCCTTAAACCACTTGTTGCATGCGTTACAAATAGGTTTAGGATCGATAACTTGGATAAGACGATGTTTGTGGGATTTATGTTTAATGGTGTTGGGTAGAAATGCACAGTTCACATCGAGGTTGAACTTACAAGTTTCACATCTGTATAAAAACGTGTTGCTAAAGCTATCACAACCAGTGCATTTATAGTAGTTCTTACATCGCCTTGTGTTTATCAAGGCAAGCAAATGATCTGGGTGAAGTGGATGTTGTAATTTGAGTGGTAACTCAGCACAATATTTGTGGAGAGTGAATGAACATCCATCTTTGCAAGTATAGTACGGAAGGGAGAGGGGTCGTACACACCCGTGACATACCTCAATTGGATCACTACAACCAGACATGTTGTTAGGTTTAGGTTGAGGTTGAACATGAAGGATTAGTGGATGTTTATGACTCCAATGGTTAATATTAGTTGTTTCATCATCATCTCGAGTCATCTTTTCAAAATGTAGTAGTTTCAATGGATCTGTAAATGCATCTGACATGGGAAAATGCAACAAACCATTTTCATCCTCATCAACAATACTCAGACCATCTCTGAAACGACATAATCTTGATTAGAACAAGCATTCACAATCACACACCAACATTCACAAACACACACGAAAAATAAAGTAAAGAAGTTTTATTTACCTTGGAGTTGAAGGACGTTCTGCATTCAAGGCACACTTTATATGTGCAAAAAATCTACAATTTGCACAATGATACAACCACTCATTCCGCTGGATGTATTTGTTGCAAATTTCACAATAATATGAGAAATTAAAGAAAATTTCTGGAAGCGAATAGACGAGAACCAGTTTGTGATTAGGGTGATGGGGTAGTTGGATGGTAGGTGCTAAGGAAGTGCAAGTCTTGTGGATCCAAAAATCACAACTATCACACTCATAGGATAAGCCTTCATCCTTATAAGTATGGCAAGCATCACAACGGAATGCAGCAGGTCTTAATTTGAGGCTTAAAGTGTGTTGTGGGTGGCTTTCATGTTTAACCTTCATCTGTGCCTCTTCCTTGATAGCATCTGCCTCAGCCTTGTGAGAAATCCTAGCAACACAACAATCAATGCAAGTTGCAAAGATGTATACCTTATCCTTAAGAAATGTATACGAAAACACCCCAGATTTCTTTCGAATACGACACACATCACAACTCCAAAATTTGGAATTTACATTATTCAAATCAGTAAGTGTTAGATGTTGATGATATAAGGAAGGGTCATTGAAAGTGTGTGGAAGTTGTGCACATGCTTTATGCAGAAAGTAACGACATTGGATGCAAGCATATGCAAAACCACTTGATATGGGTTTTTCACATGCATAGCAGCCAATCAATCCTGATTTCTCCTCACCACCATTGACACTAGCACCTACAATTGTCTCAGAGTTGAGGAGCTTTAATGGATGGCTTTTATGACTAAAATGGTTAATCTCTTCCATATCTTCTCTCTCTTTATTTTTGTCTAAAATGACATATATTTAGCCCTTCATTAAATTTATATAAAATAAGGTAGAGGCAAAATACCATTTCCACAAAAATCAGCTTAACTTTTTTAGATTGCTTTGCTTCTAAGTATAGTTTCTAATGCTATTTACAACATTCTTTTCTCTAATATCAAGTTAAATTTAACATACATATTTTTTCCAATTAAATTCACTTTCTGAATGTATTAGTCATGATACAAATAACTGGATTCCTACATTTTATCTTAATTTGTTGATTACTTATTTTTAGCTTTATTGAAAATTATAAACATGAAATCATTAACAAATATTGTCAATGGATATTATTTGTATGTATTAGTCATGATTTCACAAGGACTTTAATTGATCAACATAAAATTTTAGAAAAAAAAATAACTACATAGATATATAACTTGATTTTAGTGTTGATTGTATTTCAAATGTTATTCTCTTGTGATTTCAAATATCTCATCCACAATATATTCATATTCGTTTATGTAGTAGACTATCATAATATTCTTTTAAATATATTAAAATTGTTTTCAAGAGTCTATATAATTAGAGTACATAATATATTTTCGAAGAATTTAACTATATTATTTTAATTATTATAGTATAAGATTATGTTTGACAAACTAGCTGCAAGGTTAGTAGCTAGTTGATAAAATATGATGTTTGGTAAAAATCCGTTGATAAGTTAGTTATGAAATATAAAACGACATATAAGGACATGTACAAAAATGATTCAAATTAATAAGAAAAATATGTAATACATAAAATTAAATTAATGTAAATACTAAAAAACATTTATCAGATTATTTGTGTTTAAGTAAAATTTTGTGCATCCTATATCATATGTGTAATATTATCATGGATTTCTCGCATCTCATGGAATGACTATTGAATATTATCAAGACTAAATGTTGAATGATTTTTATGTTCTTCTATAGGAATGTAATTGTTCTTTATAGGAGGCATATTTCTTATAAAATCCTTGTACCACACGTCCTAAATTTCATAAGGGTATAAATTAATATATTAAAAAAAAACAATTAACGACTATTATATATATACAAAAAATCAGCAAATGCTGGGGAACAGAGTACAAGGCTAAGGACTAGTGAATAAACTTTTGTTATGTGTACTTGACAAATCCTAATAATATTTGAGTAACATATACATACAAGGTGGTGCTTTGTTTGAAACTGTTTTTTGGCATGATATGGTTATCTAATTCTGTTTCATTTTCATTATATTGTTACATGATATGAGTTGCAATTATATGTTTTGTTGCTACACTATATTCATTCATATAAAGATACTTATAAATATATAGTATTGGATTTTTGAGGTCGAAATGAACTTTGTTTGACTTTAAAGTTGGCATAAACATTAATTTATGAAGAAAAAAAATACAGTTTGATACTACGTTGATGATCTTTTAGCTTGCTACAAGCTGCACAATGGTTTATCTTTTAACAGGGTACTTACTATGATGGGTTTATTGCGATTTTGGCTTAAATGACACTCTGATCAAATTGTTTCAAGACCTTGCTACGATTTATTTGTAATACAAGTTTTTTTATTGGGTTATAAAGTCTTGTTTTTTATTAATCTTGTTTGTAATTAAGAACCTCGTTAATACAAATAGGAACCAAGGAATCAGAAGGACATACAACTACAGATAAACAATCATAGACAATCTCAAATCATATAAATGACTATAAAATTGCTTACCCAGATGATATAATTGGAGAAACAACACGTTGATTAAAAAAGATTACTCACCTTGAGCTCGTTTGAAGCTCTGACAAACCAAATAAAAAGAAACATTTGTCTTATGACACTGAACAATCAAATACATAATAAATCATTGTAACCAGCAATTACGAGAAAAGATGACACAATGGAACAAATATGAAATTAATTAAATATTGCTTTGTAGAAACTGACTTGAAAAATTGGTACTTGTGCTTTTATAGAAATCGATGGTGGAGGGAAAACGTTGTTAGTTTCTTGCGATTTAGAGGGAACTGATTTGGCAGATAAATAGATCTCCAGAATATGGTGTTGATGCCATTCCTCGGAAATATATATTTGGAAGGGTAAAATTGGAAGAATGTCAAAAAGCTCCTCAAAACGTTAGTTTCTACTAGCATTTAAAAAGTTTTTATTTTTTTTATGTTTTTTATTATTTTTTTTGTTGGAAACTTAAGTGGAATACTCGCGATATTTCAGCGAGCACCTCGTGTTTGAGCTACTTTACAAGTCAACCCCATAGGGATTTCCATGTAAAAATTCTCGACATGCGGCACTACAAGAGATAGTTTAAAGGAATCGAACTTCCAACCTCACGCCCCACATGGGTATAAAACCCGGTGCATTAACCTATCTAGGTTATGTTTGGCGTGCCACAGCTAGCTAATAAGCTAGCTTATTTTTCGGGCTTTTTTATGTTGGCGTATTTGTTAAGTCAAAAAGTAGCTTATAAGTTAGCTTTTTGAAAAACTACTTAAACTAGCTTGTTAGGAGCTTTTTTAAAAATTTTCCAAATACACCCCTTAATTAATTATAGAAACATGTCCTTTTATGTAATTTTGTATATTTCAACTAGCTTTTCAGTTAGTTTTACCAAATGTTATTTTTTATCAGCTAGTTTTTCAACTATTAGCTAGTTTTTTATTTAACAGTTAGTTTTTTCAGCCATCAACTAGCTTTTCAGCTAGTCCGCTAAATATAGCCTAAGTAACTTATAAGTTGTTTTTTTAACTTGTCAAGCATAACATCTTTAAAAAAATCTAAAAAAAAACTTGCTTATAACATAGTTATAGTGTATCAAACACAACCTAGTCACATAAAATGACAATTTAGAGAGTAATGTCTAAATATATTACCGATCTTACCATTTGGATTGTTAAGTGTAAATCTCAAACCTTTTAGAAATAGAGTTGAACATCATCTTCGTGGAAATAAGAGATGATTTATCATGCCTTAAAACAAGGTCTCTACTCTCTGGTGGCCAACCTTTCAAACAACCAACATAATATATATATATATATATATAGAGAGAGAGAGAGATAGATAGAGAGAGAGAGAGAGAGAAAAGTGAATATGCCTTTAAGGGTATATAAGCTTGGGGATCCAAACTCACCATAATACATCATTTTGTACCATATATAGACATTGTAATTGTCCAATGTTCTTATAATTCAACTTCTAACTTAAATATTTTTATAAATTTCATAGTTATCTTCCTCTTACATAATTGTCATTTTTAACAATAATATATATAGCCTAGTAAGTGTTCGACAAAAAGATCTGATGTAAGAGAAAGATAATAATGAAAATTTAAATCAGGTTAATGATTGAAGTTTAACAATATTATAATGAATATATCAAACAAAACGACGTATTATTATGAGTTTGGGTACCTAAGCTTATATACCCTTAAGGGTATATTCACTTTTCTCATATATATATATATATATATATATATATATATATAATAATATATATATATATATATATATATATATAATATATATATGCTTTTTTGTAATTTAATCATAAATTATATTTAACAAATAGGTTTTTATAATTAATCACCCAATCATTTTGTAGCATATTACAACTTTAAAGTTATGTTTGGCGCATAAACTAGTCTATGTTTTATGCTTTTTTTAGGTTGCACTATTTGGCAAGCCAGAAAGTCGTTTATAGGCTAACTTTTTAAAAAGTTACTCGTATTGGCTTTGCCACAAACCTATGAAGCTTTTTTTTTAGAAAAATTATTTCAAATATACCATTTATTATTTATAGTAAACATTTTTTTCTACATACCCTTATATGTCATTTATACTTGTTAATATTACAATATTAATTCGACTTACAATCAAAAGAAAAATGTTTCCAAATGATTTCCCAATGCTTTCTTACAAGTTTAAAATGGTGGTTAATGTCGTACAGACCTTGAGTTTAAGGTGGGATATTTGGTACTACAGAAGATGTCACGTTAGAAGGGCATCATCCGGTTTCGGAAGCGGAGCAAGTTGGGCCCCTAGGTTATGGGTCCCTTCAGGATTATTGTCCGGGTAGGCAGGGTTGCGTACCGGTTGGATTTTCCTGATGAGCTCAGTCAGATCCATAACACCTTCCACGTATCTCAATTGTGGAATAGTTTAGCCGATGATTCAGCCGTGATATCGTTGGATGATATTTAGGTGGATGAGTGCCTGAATTATGTGGAGAGGCCCATTATAATTCTCGATAGGAAATTTAAAACTCTACATAACAAGGTGGTAAATCTGGTGAAGGTGCAATGGCAGCACCGAAAGGGCTTTGATTAGACGTGGGAGTCGGATGACGAGATGAGGAAGCACTACCCGGATTTATTTACGGCAGCAAACTACGTGGATGAAGTCTAATTCAAGTGGGGGGGGGGGGTATTTGTAACACTTGAATCCAGGTATTTTCCTTTTTAGTCCTTGAAACAAAAATATATTTGCGAAAGAGGTCCCCTCGTATGTTGGGCGTACGTCTATGTACGCTTAGCGTATATGGGCATGATGGATCGGGAATCTGAGCCACATACGTGGGGCGTACGAATCGTATGTGGGGCATACATATCCATTGTTAAAACCCAAATTTAGGGTATGAGCCCTATTTAAACATACTTATGACATGTGGACCATCACCCTTATCAGCCTCCATTGCTATTAATGTCCGTAAAATCCTAGTTTGCCATTCAGAGTAATATTTGAGCTTGGAAGTAACTTTAGTGGCCTTTGTGGTGTCTTTGCAAGAAGAAGAACTTGGTGATCAAGCTTTAGACGTAGTTGAGCTTCAAGATCTTGAATCTACATCATCTTAGGAAGCTTTTGAAGGTAAAAAGCTCATACCTTGTTGATCTTTTTGATAGTTAGAGTTAGGGTTTGTTTATAAGCTTATTTTGGGTCCATGGATTCTCATTTTGGGAGTTTGGGCAACTCCAGAAGCTAGAAAATCCTGCATCCCAAAGTTATTCATCCAAGTGAAACATCTTACATCTACCTCTAAAAGGTTGCTCAAACTTCCATTT